CTGCTTCTAAAGCTTACGGATATGTATGATATGGCCCTCATCTGCTTCCCGTCACAAGTCTGAAAGCTCAAAATGCGGTGGATGGTTTGTCCCAGCACACGAGTTCCTCTCTGAAATCAGTTCAGAACTATTCAATATGTACCACTGCATTCCAGTGGATTTATCAGTTAGCCAATATTTGTTCTACGTCTAATCACTGAAGCCAAGTATGATGCATCTGGAGTGACCCCGGGGGGGAGAAAGACCACAGTCGACAGGCTCCAGTCAGTGCAGACGCCACTGAGTGTCATTTCTTCGAAAAGATATAAAATCTGCCCTTTATCAGTTCCCATCTGTCTCTGTGTGGTGTTGAGGCAGACTCTCGTCTCAACCAAATCATAAATTAGGTGGTCATGAGGTTGATCGTTGAGGCTCGCCACTATTTGTCTGTGTATGTGTGACTGTGTGCATGAGCAGGCCGCTATGTCTCCAGGTTATAACATCTCGTAGTCAGGAAAGCACCCGGCATCACGCACACCGCTTCCCCCCCCTCCCGTGGCACTGATACACCTGTAGGCCTTTCTTTCAAAGACACCCATCTCCATTTTCAAACATCAAAGTTTTCTTTGAGAGAGCAATTCGCACCGAGGGGGATCCTTTCATGTGATCTGCGGAGCATGGGCGTGGCTGCACTTAAAGAGATGCACCTGGCAGGTGCATAAGCTGGGCACCCGCACACGCAAATGCATACGCAGCAGCATTCATGCTATCTCTTTGTTTACTTTGCAGAGCGACTGCAATATCACAGGAAAAATAACACAGCAAATGTCATTGTTTGTCTATTTGCATACTTTGTACAGTCTGTGTGCCAAATGCAAATAAAATCAACCCGCCAACTCTAACATGCACCCGACCCCCTCCCCTCCCTCCCTGACTACCTCCCTACGCCCACCATTCTCCTCATGGAGCTGTAGGAACACACCCAACCGAGTAAACACAGGCAACAAAACACGACAGTACTTGTGTGATTTTGGATGCGTGGGCCTGTGTTGGTGGGAAAGTGTGTCAGCTCTGGCTGTATGTATACAGGTACTGCACGTATGCTGTGCAATTCTGTTAGTGGTTACGATGTTTTCACGTGTGTCATTCTCAAGTATCACAAGACAAATGAGCACCTTGACGTCGCTCAGGTGGAACGAGCTGCCGCATCTTCAGCATTCAGCAAACAACAGTCTGTGCAAATCTCATCACCCCATACGTGCACAAAAAATAATGAGCCAATCTATCTAACAGTTCATATTCATCGTTTCGCTTCTAGTGTTATTTATCCGTCTTGATTATATTACTCTGATTAAATGAGATGGCACTCGAAAATTCATTTGAAAAACTCAACAGCAACCACGACACGGTTACTCAAAAAAAAAAATCCACAAACCTCATTGGGAGCGGTTTCACATAGGAACTATTTTGTTTCTACCGAAGCGCACCCGCCAACCAAAGGAAACACGCAGCTAGATAATATTACAGCTCAGTTGAGTTACAGCATTAATGTTTACACGCTGTCACAAGCGTGACCCTCTTGTTGCAGGTAGAGAAGCATTTTCTTCTGCATACTGACATAGTTGGCAGGTGCAGTTCAGTTAAAGAGGAAATAGTTCCCACGTGAAACTGCTCACATCAAGGTTTTATGGATCATTTTGTTTGGTTTTAGTTTTTGAATATCTTGGTTATGATGTGCTACTAATAACGAAACATGGGGCACAGCACATATCTCCAAAAAATAGGGCGGGGGGGGGGGATCTCCACAGCAGGGCAAAGAGGCAGAGTTAAAACTAGATATTTAAGATTCAGCTGAAAATGTGCGGAAGCTATTTTCTAGTTAGTGACATTACAAACACACACTCATAGCTGAACTGATTTCTCACACACAGACAAGTCTCTAATCTGCTGTCAGATATTAAATTTATATAATTTTTTTGACACCATATACTTGTTATTTGTCAGCCTTAACGAAAGAGCTTTATTTTTTCTCAAGCTCCAAGCATTTCCTACCCTTGTCTGAACTCTCTGCCTTGACCCACAGCAAGGTCTTTCGGGGAACTGATTCATTTCAGGTTGAGAGATACAGAAATACAAACGGGCCCTTCCCCCGGGGCTAAATAGGCAGCAGTTGATGTCATGTATAAGCGAGGTGGTGAGAAGGGCAACAAAAATATAGCTGAGGGATTAATCGGTGAGAATAACCCTGCTCGGGCGTATGAGCTGTTGTGTGGAGGCATCTGATAGCAGCGACAAACAGGGGAGGGACTCGACACTTCAGTCATCTGCTTTCCTTTTTTGCCTTTCTGTCTTTTTCTAGCTCAGCATGCCCTCTCTTGTTGCTAGATGTGATATTTTGTTAGAGCTCAGACGAAACTGGAGGGAGAGCTTTCATCGACAGTTGTGCTTCCAGTTTGGGCTCAGCAGAAGTTTGATATTAAAGTCTGACAGATAGATTGGGGGGTGGGGGTGGATTAGGATGACAAATGCCGGATGTTTGATGAGGAAATCAGCAGCAAGGGAGACAAAAATACTGTTCAGGAACAGAATTCTGTCTGTGTGCATTCATGACCGTGATGCTGTGTGTCTGGGCATGTGGATATACATTAGTGTACACAACTGTACTCATAGCGTAAGTGTTTCCTTTACTGCTCGAGCGCTTTCAAGCATAGCATTCTTTGTTACATTGCCGCAGGCGAGCCACCGCTGCAGTCCTGTCCATCAGGTTCTCTCGACTAGATCCGTAAACATTAAAATCCCTCCTTCCCTTCGCTGCCAGCTCCTGCCATGGCTCGACAGGCAGCAATGCAAATGCAGGCCGTACACAAACAGCCTGCAAAGCCCCGCACGGCCGGGCCCAGCGGCCTGCCAGCCTGCAGACAGGTGAGCCCGGCACTGACCAAGATGTACAGACATCGTTGTGTGTAATCGTTGACTAAAAACAACCAAAAGAAAAGCAGTTTTTGCATGTAAAACTGTCTCTGAGATGACATTCATAATTTTTAAAAAATGCAGTTTTGTGTGTTGGCAGAAGCGCCTCGCAACATTTGGCTCGACACGTTGCACAGTTGCAATGTGCTGCCTTGTGGTTAGAAAATGATCTGATTAATTTTATGGTCCTAATAATGTCTGAATGTTGGTGTGTGTTCCTGTTCTGTCTGATATAGTCTCAGAATGTGCTTCTTGTTTAAATAAGAGAGGCCCTTAATCTCATCTTGTGAGGTTTCTATTTTGAGTTTTCTTTCTTTCTTTTTTTACGAACTAAGCTCATCTCGGCCTCAGATCAGACACACCACATTGAAACCAGCATAATGAACAATATAAATGTGCTGCGTTTCAAAATGCTCCCTCTATCCTGTTCTCCTCACAGAGTGCATTTTAACCTTTGCACAAAAGGCCACCAGTCTGTGTTTGAAATTGAGGGGGCTTTAGTTCGAGTTCATGAATATTGAAATCATATTCAGACGTTTCTTTTCTGTCATTCTGTGAATTTCCTCTCAGCACAGTGTAACAGAGTTTAATGGAGCTCTAAATTCCTCCTGCCCTAAATTAAACAGTGTTACTTTATAGCACCCAGCGCCAGTGTAAAAGTAGCACGGCCTCTCTGACGCCTCAGCTGAAGCCGTAACTTGTTGACAGACAGACAGGAGACAGCATTAACGTACACAGTTATTTCACACCGACACACTTGCAGATGAACCAGAGAATGCACTTGATGCACTCGCACACACATTCAGCTTCTTTTTTTTCTATTTGAACAGAATACAATCAAATTGAAACCATGCCCGCACACACACACACACACACAGCGTTTATTATTATCTACTCGCTGTTCTCTTTTATACCTCTGCAAATAGACGGCACTTAGTTTGGCAGGGTGAGGAGTGGGGGTGGGGGGCTTGATGCTTCTCACTCCATGCCCCCTGAGCTCCCTTTGCTAACCGTGTCCTTTCATGTGGCTCTCGCTGCCACTCTCTGTGTCCCCTGTGTGCTCCATGTTCACCGGTTCTAAAGAACCCACTTCCGCATAAGCCGCAGTTATCCACCTCTAAGCAACCCTGATAAGTAAGATTCCTCCATAGAAACTATCAGAAAATCCTATTTCTCATATCTATCTCACCTTGAGCTCATTAAAAAATAAAAATGCACACATACAGCTCTAACCGTCAGTGACTGAGTCATCTGAGTACCTCTGCTTTCACCATCCCTCGCACTAGAAGCATCAAACCACAAGAGCATGTAGCTGTGGCTGAAGGATGGCGCTAACAGCTTTAGCATGCCGTGCCTTCCTGCCAGGGCTAACGGTGGCTGGAGTCTGCCCTGTGTTAAATCAACGAGCCACTTATGTGGTTGTGCAGGCAGGTACAGTACGACCCCTCTGACCAGCGCTGAAGAAGGTAGGAGTGAGGAGGAGGAGGAGGGTTCCACTGAGCTGAGCCACCTGCGGCTTGGAGACTCACTCAGCTCCTCTTAGTGGTCTTGGGTTTTGCCTTAATATGCTTTACAGTTTCCTCTGACAGGGCCCTTCCCTGTGCCCCTGCTGCACACACACACAGACACACAAGCCTACCCTACTATTTAAGTGAGGACAATATATTGCCCTACATTCATTCTCTAGAGGCTTACCATAACCCAAGCTTAACCCAAACTTCACTCTAATCTTAACCCCAAAACCCAAGCCTTAACCCCAAAAGAAATCTAGGGGAAACTGGATTTTCTAGCACATCTTGATCGTGTGAACTGATTCTCTAGCTCTCCCTTCACCAAGGCACTGCACACCCACGAATGCACTTGCACTTGCATTCAGGCCTGCTCAGTGTAAGACTCTCATCTACATTCAAGAAGCCAGTGGGTTTACTGACACCCACACTTAGAGAATCGGGAGTCGACGCTGACAGTGCTGTGCAGCATCGCACCTCAATGCATTTTAGCAATAATGCTAGTGTGAGTGGGTCTCTTTGTGCGTGTGCGTGTGCACTTACTGCGTGGTTCGCGGGGTCCGTCCACGGTCACTTTGATGGCGCGGTGGTACGTGGCCACCTGAGGCGGTCCAGTGAACACGGTGATGGTCAGAGTGAAGCTCTTTCCTGCAGCACAGCAACCAAATCGCGTTCATGAGTGTTATTTATTCTTCTTTGTAAACGACCGTTTAGAATGATCTGCAAAACTTATTTTCTCTGTTCTCACAACAATACTTCGCTTGTTCAACCTCAAATCATCACCGGCTTTCGTCCCGCTGCTGCAGCCTTTGAATTCAAATTAAATAATAAGAAGAAGAAAAAGAAGAAGCCAAGGACCGGCTCTCTTTTGACGGTCTGGCTGCGGGTATGATTTGGATTATTGAGGGAATGTCTTCCAGATTGTGCCAAAGAGCTTACAGCAAGAGTTTATTGTTCAACAAGGCAGGCTCTCGCTCCCATTCTGCATCAAAGTGCAGAGAGAGGAAGGCTGGACCACGCAGGGAGTCCGGCGCTCGTCCCGGGCTCTGAGAATAGCGTCCCTTGTTAAATGGAGACTGAGTGGGAAGACAGACATAAAATCCTCATGTGGGTGGGCTAATTGGCTGCAGAAATAAAAGGTACGAACTACTTAAAAAAAATCATGGAAAAGACAATCAGATAAAAAATAGAAATATAAAATCCAGAAATGGCCTCACGGAGAGAAGCGAAATGACTCCGATGAGGCTTTTAAAATCGTTCTCTTTTATTATTTAAGTTAACCATATTTACTTGAACTTTGCGCTGTTTTGATTTTCTCAATATAGCATAAAATGGTACACGGTAGGCCTATGGTTTGACCACAACATCCTGGAAACGAGCCTGTTGACGTGGGGATTTTTATACAGCAATTAAACGCAATAACCGTGATAAATAGTGCGCAATAGTCCATAAGATGCACGTATCCTAAATGGTGGCGGGGATTATTTGACAAATTGCCCCGGGACATAAATTGCACGGTGGTTTCTCATCCATCCCTCCGACTTGCACCACGTCGATGATTATTTGTATTCCCTCGGATTAAGAAAATTATACAGCCACATTGCAGCTGCATACCGTGACGCAGGCCAGATGTTTCTGATGACACCCGTGGACGTCAGTTGGCAAGGTGTGGGCACTCGTCGTACCCAAACATAAACGCTTCCACATTTGCAGAATTATCTCAGCAACAGAAATCATCCCCAAAACTGACAGAAAAGTATTTTTGCGCGAGCTGTATTTTAATACGCGCAGCAGTGCAGCCTGTGCAAAATATTTAGTTTCATATCATCCGCGTTCTCTCAAAAATAATATGTTGTCACTCGTTTTTTGTTTGTTTTTTTTCTGTGCCCAGAAATATGATCTATTATTATGTGTTTTCAAATGCATTACACGCAGACATTCCCTCATCGTTTGTGTGCAGGCCTGTGTGTGTGTGAGAGAGAGAGAGAGAGAAAGAGAGAGAGCGAGAGAGAGAAAGAGAGAGAGAGTTTCAGAGGTTACGCTCACCTCGTCCGCTCCTGCCCACGAAGCGCAGGTCGTTGAAGCGAGCCACCTGGTTCTTCATTACAGCCGAGGCGTTCCTCAGCTCGGCCGAGTAGTTCTCGTCGTTTCCGGCCATCACGGTGACCAGAGTCCCGTCGGGGACGTCACCAAGAGCCACAACCTGAGCGCAGGAGAGGGGAAAAAAGATGTTGGTCATTCGGGTCATCAAAGCAAATGTGCTCAATGCGCGCGTAAAACCGCATCCGACTGTTTCGTAATATTAAGTTAGAAATCGTACATTGTACAATTTGAACACAATGTCAACAATAAACTGCTGATTGAATTATGCAGCTTGGAGATTTTTTTAAAGTAGACAATGTCATCACGTTAACAAAGAAATCATATAAATTTCACTACACGTTCTGTGACTGTGATGTCCTCATCCGAGCGGATCCGAACACATGACAAAGACACTTAACTGATAAAAACACAAGAATTGACTCAGGAAGCGTCAACATTGCGTAATCCAGAAACACATAAAGGTACAAAATATTAATTCAGCTGCTCTTGCTACTTGCACTTAAATTTCTTATCCCTTATTGTGCAATTTAAAGCCTAAAAAAGCAAATGTTATTTTTACGATTTGATTTTTAAAATTTCACTCAAAGCAAAAACTGAAAGTCACCCAAAAATCCCATCAGATAATTCTAAATAAAAGAAAATGGATTACTTCCTCAAGTCCCATTTGCTTGGTTTTAATTTATTTATTTTTTGTTCTTCTTTTTTTTCTTTACTCGTACATTTAAGGAAGTTAGAGGCCTGCAGTGGGAATTATTAAATGAAAAACATAACACATGATAATAAGGAGCGATGTGTCTTGCCTTGAAAGCCACGGGGAGCGTCTTGTTGCACCTCCAGTGAGACGGCAGCACAGAGCAGAGGAAGTTCGGGCTGTCGGTCCGGACCAGCTCGCCCGCGTGGTCCGCAAGGACGTCCACCACGTTCCTGGTGTCCGGTCTTGACCTGATGGGCCCTGCGGTGGCCATGGCCCCGTTGCTGTCTCCAATCTTGCTGCAGGGGAAGGATGTGGAGGGCGGCGTGAACCGTCTGGTGGTCGGCGGCTCTACGGGAATATGCATCACAACAGCTTGGGTCAGTGCCACCTGACTGGGTCGGATCAGAGGAGCAAAACTCTTTGGAGGGAAAAGTTTTTGTCTGTCTCTCCAGACGATGCTGGTGTTAAGAGTCCACTGTGTTGGCGCAAAGGTTGGAGGCGAGAGCGCAGAGTGGAAAGAGCCTCGCTACCTGAACAGAAACTACAAACTGGTGACTGTGTGGCTAGATCATCTGCACATGATGTGTCGGCTCGAGCAGCACCAGAGCCGACAAGGTTTGCTCTAATTTCAGCAAAGACGTGCAAATAAAAGCTCTGCGGCAGCGCTCAGCTTGTCTTATATCGGTGCTCGCGTCTGCCGCACACCGTGGATTTCTTTCTGCCGCGTGAGAACTGAATATAAGCACCACAAACTGCCCGAGATCTCACTCAAACTCGCAAATAAGTGAATGAATCTCCCAAATATTTTTCTGCAGATCGGTAAGAGTCTGTTGGCACAGGTAATCCAGGCGCGATATATTAAAAAAAATTAATCCGCCTAACTAAAACCAAAAAAATGTCTCGACTAAACAGCGATTTTCTTTTTAAACAGACGCCTCCCGCTGATTTCACCAGAAACTTTTTTCACCGCTGGTTTAAAAACAAAACAAAACAAAAAAGTCTAATTAAATTTCTCAAACTCGAATATCTACAGTCAAACTGCAGTTAAAGCACAGCGATGTCCTGTTTCTTGCGTAAAAGTTCTCGCAACCGTATCCCAGTTTAGGTGTTCCCACAAAAAAAAAAAAAAAAACCCAAAACCAACACAACTCTGGAATAATGGGAACGATCCTGTCGCTCCAGTTGGATTTCCTTTAAAAGTTATCCTTTAGGGCGCAAGAAGAAGCCGTGAGGATGAACAGGGTGCAGAGTGCCGCGATATTATTTTACCCTAGTCATTTTAGTGTTTAGTGGTTGGGAGTGTGGAGATGATTTCGACCAATGAATCTACTGGGCTGGGCTTTCATCAGACCAATCAAACTCGCCGGTGCTCCCTCTGCAGCTATGCACTGTTGTCACACACACGATCTAAATTATTGATACATATCTCTGCTTTTCTCTGTGTTTTTATGCGCTACACACGCTTTTTACATGAAACAGAAAGCAGGAGACAGCGTGCGTTAAGAGGAAATGTTTTATTTTTATTTTTCAGAATAAGAGACGCCAGATATAACTTACGAAAACAAAACCAACATGCAAGCAAATACTTTTGCTTAAATTATTATTTTTATTATGACTATTAATAAAATAAGCAGATGCTTTAAATGGTGAATTTGATGGACTATAGCGCTTAAGAATAAATCCTGCGTTTGGCTTCTGTGGAGATTTACTGTAAATCCCGAGTGTCACAGGGCACCACCTTAATCGTTAAAATATTATATAAGATCAAAGGTGTGCACCTTTATCTCCACGCTGGTTTATCACACAGCCTCCTCTGAACTCAGCAGTTTGGAAGTGATCTAAAGGAGGCCCGAGACTGCACAGGTCTGCGGTTTCAATCTCATTTATTCATTTTAGACGCTATTATATCTCGAGGCTTCGCACCATCTCTAAATTTTCATAAAGTGAAATTATGGGTTTAAGATAGATCCATATCATTTTAATTGACTGAGCGGAATTCAATAAAAAAAATTAAAGCAAACAAGCAAATGTGTTTTTTCCACATCAAAGAACATAACAGAGTCAATGCGTGTGTGAGAGTGTGTGTGTGCGCCAGAGGCTGAATTCATTAGAAATGTTGAGGGTTACATCAAATGACGGCACACCCTGCTAAAGCCTTCCGCCGTGCTACTTTTTGACACTAGTTGGCGCATTTGCCTTTTCAATCGCTGACAGCCCCGGCGGTCTGAGAAGCAGACATTTCACATCTGCAGAGGAAACTTTTATCTGCTCCCTGAGATGAGTCGGAAATCTGAATTAATTTCGACTTTAGGCCAAACGCTTAAACATATTTTTGATTTTTGGGGGGAATTTCTGTTTAGCTGGTGGGAGATTTGCTCCCCGGGCATTTTAATATTCACATCCACGTGTGAGATATTTGCCCGGATCACAATAAAATGTGTTATTGTCGGGAAATAAAAATTCTTATTAGAGCACGCACATTTATTCGTTTAAAAACTTCTCATTGAAGCCAACTGAATGAATAAAATGCGATATTTGCGCGTCTACATACATCATTTATAGATTCAATTCTCTGAGAGTTTTTTTGTGTGTGTGTCTGCTGTAATTCATTTTAAATGCGCAGGCAGGCTTTTAAACATCGCTTAAAAATACCGTGTGCACATTTTACTGAGTTTGGCGAGGAGTGATCGATTAGGAGAGAAAACATTGCGCTCTAGAAATTTGGTAGTTTTGATTTAAAAATGCCACAAAACGTAAAATAATAATTAATGAATTAAATTCAGCGAATATATGTTTTAGTAAAATTTTCATAGTGTGTGTGCAGTTTTTTAACGCTGTTTGTTTGCAATATAATTAATTAAGAGCAGCTAAGTAGCTCGTCGGAGTGGTTTCCCTTAACCTTTCCTGCCGCAGTGATCAGAGCTGCAGTCACACAGCAGGATGCAGAGCTTAGACAGAAACAATATAAACATCATTCTAAAATTTTAAGATGTTAAAATCGTCTGAAAACTCCATTTTATTTCCTAATAGCTATCAGCAAACATCAGTTGATCATTGTTGGCGCATCTGTGCAACATTCATTAATATTTACAATGGTAACGTTGCACAACCGTGTGCGCAGAGTGCCAGCCAAGTGTTGCTAAACTTTAGTTCTCTAAATAAATTCTGTGAAATTCTACCTGCGTGCCGTTCTCTCTCTTTCCTTCTGGGCTGAATGCTGTGAGAAATATTAATGTGCAGGCTTGTTTTAACACTCTCACACTCCTTGTCTGTGGTTGCTTGTTTTTTGTAATGTAGGACAGCGGTTCAGAGGGTTTGAGCAAAGCTTTGAAAAAAATTACGCACTGAAAGCACATGAGAAAAAAAAAAAGAAATATTTTATGGTAACAAAGCCACCATCACACTTATCCCTGGTTCACAGAAGACAGCAGCATAAATAATTGCTTTATGTGTTGACATTGTTGGTATTTATTTTCTTTACCTGATGTGAGAAATCTCCAAATCACAGAAGCTTAGAGCTGTACAACCTGACCTCCCTGAATTAAAACAATAAATAAATCGGATCAGATCAGCTGTCACACTGCCTCTATTTTAAAAAAGCACAGCTGGACTGGGACAATGACAATGCTGGTGGTATTTTAGTCATCCTCCTGCCCTAGTTCATTATTAATATGTGACCACACGCCCCAGCTATACCCCACTCAGCCTTAATGTGCGCTCCGGGCGCCTGTCACATTTAGACCTCCACATTTCAACATGCAGTTTCTACAGTTTCAGCCGCACAGGCATCGAGGACGGAGCCCGCCGTGCCCCTGAACGATTTTTAATGATCCGAGTGGGCTGAGCCTGAAATCAAGACAGAACTCCTGGAGGACATGTGAAACCCAGGACCCACCTCAAAAAGGCCTCAGCGTATAAGATTCTTGAGCATTCAGGGATGAAAAGAAAACAGATCCTTCAGATATAAATCAAGAAATCACATCATTGTTTACTGACGGTTGCTCTGTGAAAACCTGTGGTTGAGAAGTTGCCTTCATCTGTTTTCCTGGCCTGAATCAGAACAAAAGAAGGGGTCTCCTCAGCATCAGAAAGCATCACACAGTCTGTCTGAAGCACCGCAGTAAAACAAATCTGAAATGGGGCATTTTAGACACTCTGGACAAGTCGAAATACAAATAAAAAAGGAGTTCAAAGGTTTTGTGGAATCTTTACAAAGTCTTCTGTGAATTTAATTAAAGCCAAAGGAAACCCTGCTTGCTTTGGGTTCTGTGTGCAATGAGTCAGATTGTAAAGACTAATATGAGTATGATCCTTATTAGTGGAGAAACAGCAAAGCCTTTGGGGTCTGTAAAGGTATACCTGGCTCTAAATGCCAACCACACTGCTTTCAGTGCCACTTAAAAGCCACTTTGAAGATGGGGACAGTCTCAGATATGTCGAGATCTCTTTAAAGTTTTTCTTTTTTTTTTTTCCCTCGAATATGATCTATTAGCCTGTGTAAACTCCCAGGCTATTTTCAGACATGCACACATAAGCCTTTGGATGGGTAGCTATTCATTTGGAAAAGGGGGCTATGGGGGCAATTAGAAATAGTTTGAGGTTCAGCGATGACATAAGACAAAGATTTCTATCTTTAGAGGAGCTGCGGCGGTCACACATTTCTGTACATTCACAAATTACAGGGCAAGCTTTGGCCCTCAACCCACCGAATGCATTCCTTCCGAAAAGTGTCTGCTCGAATTTCAGCCGGGGGTTTCTGCTCAGTGGAAATCTGAGTGTTCTGAATGGACGACTTCTATGAAATGGAGTTTTATTCCTCTTGGATTAAATTAGCTCTACTTTGGGGCTTGGGGTATTTTTTTGTATGAATGATGAATTCTGTGGTGACTGTGGAACGCCAAGCTTGTTTACCCTTCCCTCCCTTTTTCCCCCTTTTTGCTTTTTTTCAAAATGCAGCTCGCTATGAAATGGACTTTTTCTGCTTGATATGACAAGAGTGTCTGTGATTAGACTTCTAAGCATGATGTAAGTCACCAAAGCCATTTGTGCTAGTCCCCTCAAAGCCAAATCATATTCTAGCGTCAGAGTGTTTATATACACAAGTATATGGAGAAACTTTTAAACAACAGTGAGTGGGTACAGACTGTTTGGGTTTGGGGCTCTTGCTGCTCTGATGCCTGATTCTTTCTCAAATCTTGATTACAGAATGTGTCAGCACATCACAATTGGCGGTCATTTTTGTCCATTTTGATGTTCGGGCAAGAAAATGGGAAACACATTGAACAATTTTGATCATGTAAATTTGCATGTTACTTTTTCTCCAGCAAGGTCGCCTGTGTTAGTTTTAA